TCCATTAAAAACCGTAAGTTAGGCAAACTGTCCGTTAGGCAAACTGTCGTTCGGCTAAATGTCTTCAAGCAGATTGACCGGTCACGTAACGATCTAAATACGCGCTGAGAATCAGTCAGAAGACACGATTTTCGATGCGAAATGAATGAAGAAGATTCATTGAGCTAGCAACAAAATTTCTCACAATTCTATTGAAATCATTCGTATTGACTCGACGTTGTTGACTCGTTTCTGATATGCTTGAATTCGAGCGCGAGTTGCTCGAATTCGTAACGCTAGTTGGTAATGTGAGTTGTTGATATGGGTCACTGTCCAATGAGGACGATGAGGAGATTACACTTCGAACTGCAGATTGTAGCAGTCCATCTACGATTGGACGATACTCATTGGTTGTGGTAAGAGTTGGAGATGGCTGAGGAATTGATAAAAGATCAGATCTGGAGATCTTTTGCAGAGATGACGATTTCGAGCGATTTCTATTATTGCCATCGTTCACATAAGACGGCTGAAAAGCATCCTATGCATTGACAATTGATTAGCAGAGTTCAGGTAGTCAATTCCGTTTATTCAGGCCTCGTAAAACTCCGATTGTTTGTTTACAGACGGATAATCGATCACCTGATCGAGAAATTTTTTGACGCCTTTATTTAGCATGATTAATTTGATCTGATTTTACTAATAGATCATTTGTTTTAAATTATAGTCGTGGATTACGTGAGACGCTCACTCCATCTAATGAGATGTTTTAAGCAGGTAGTATGTTTTTGGTGAGATTTTTTTCTTCGTACATGTAGCTGCTGTCATAAGTTCATTAACATTTCAATTTCTCATTCTGTCAGAGATATTCAGGTGATGCAATCATCGAGAGCAATGCATAGAGAAGGCACCTGATCAAAGAATGAGCCCTGTGAAGCAGTTCGACGTTTTGTGATCGGGATACCATCATTGCTATCGTATGATTCCAGTTGTTTGGCTGCATTGCTTTTGCGATGATCCGACGAAGTTGAAGATGAGAATATTGGTGACAATGATGGGGATGTATGTGACTGAGATTCCACTTCATACACTCCTGTTGACGCCGAGCTTGATGAAGCTTTAGAACTTGATAGCCTGCTCGATGCTGCTGGATGTTGCATCTGGAGAGGGAGCGTGAGAGATAATGTTTGTGCGAAGAGATGAAGATACAGCCATCATATTTTAGCTATTTTTTTCAGCGATATTTGCTTTCGTAATTAGACACATTAATCCGTGCAGTTCTCAAATTGCGTTGATTGAGTCATTGTCATGAAATCAAAAAAAGGTTAGAAATTTCAATGAAGAGAGTGAAATTTGACCGTTGCTCCTGTATCAGATGCATTCGATTGCAAAAGTGTCGAGCTGCGTAAATCCATTCCAGAGCCCTCGTCGCTTTCTTCACTCGATGACAAGCTATTCTTGGTGCTCTCATTTCCCGATACGACTTCATTTTCATCTTCTTCAGACTCTGATCTTCTTGAAACCTGAATCGACAAATCCATGTCCGGCCGTCGTGAAATTTTTGGGAGATTTTCGCTCTAAGCTATTGGATTTCGCTATAAGCTATAAGTTATTGGATATGAGAAATGTAATGCAGCATCAACTTGGGCAGCATTTCGTGAACTTTTCAGCTCTGCTCTTGCGACGGTTCAGCACAACCTTAGCCCATAAAATTGCTTTTTCACCCGGTTTTTGGATTTCAAACTACTTTCTTTCTGTGAAATTCAAAAACAAGTCAGAATTATTGTCTACTGATTCTTATTCCCCGATCGTGTTGAATCGAAAACATTTACAATTTTCAACTAAAACTCTCATATTTTAAACATAGTTGCCAATAGCAATCGATANATCCATTGCAAGTTTTGTCGTGATCTCTGGTTTGAGTCAGTTTATTCAAAGGTTGTTCGACGATCTGATAACGAACTCGATTGCGGTGATCTCGAATTGGTCTTCTTTTCAGTCGCCCTCCAAGAATTTGTTCGACTATCGGTGAATACGAGCCAGTTGCCGTTGATCCGGAAGCCCAGACAACTGACGATGACTTTGTTCTCTCCAGTCGATTAGCAGCACTTCCACTAAGCACTGGCTCTACGGTCGATTTACCGGACGAAGTTAGCTGAAACTAAAATTTCAGGAGATTACTTATGAAAGTACACCAAAAAACTGGCTTATTCAGCCAAGATTTCATTGATCATCTAAACTTATAGTGAAGATTAACCATAATATCATTAAATGTGGATTATGTATATGATTGGTAAGGTAGTAACGTTATGATTTCGAAATTGCAGGAATAAACTAGAACCTTAGATTATCAAAGGATCCTTGAATGTGGATGATCCTTATGATTCTAAATTGATTCTTCGACGTTCTCACTAATTATTCGATTGAGATCAACACTAAGATATCAATTATAAAGAGATTACGGTTCGTGGACCACCGGAGCTGACCGATCTTAATAAGTGTGGTCTGAACCGGTTGGAGCTGGCTTCACGGATTGATTCGTAGCGACTATATGATGAATCGAAATCTGGCGTAGCCGTTGATTCATACTCTTCATGTTCACTCTCATGGCGATTACATTCACGTGTTTTTGATGGCGATCTGGATTCCGTTTGGGTTGTACCTTTCTGCAACGAATCGAAACAAATTGCCCATCGATATTCATGATTTGATCTGACAAGTAAGAAATGATCACAGTAATCAAAATCAAAAATCATCATCTTATCAAAAGTCATCTTAACCGAAAAATTTGCCGTTTCGTTAAAATTCAATTATTTTTCAGAATCCCGCAAGACGTGAAAAATCTGAGAATGACGTTGATCAACTCGAGAATGGGGTATGCTGATC